AAAAAAAAAAAAAAAAAAAGGACTATATCCATTAAAAAAACAAAAATTGCAGTTTGCCTATGCTACTCCATGCTAAACAAAATACTCCAATATTAAACACAAATAAGGAAACATTATCATATATATAAATGTCAAAAAAATTTATGATATAAAGTTGCTGATTTATAAAAGAAAACCAAAAACAGATATTAATGAAATGCATTTAAAAGACCTTTATTTTGAAAAATAAATGGACTGTTTCTACTCAAAAATGCTGTCAAAGTATGACCAAATCTAATCAACACATCCATTGGAACCTAAGTTCAATGACATGGAAATAAAATACCTGAAGGTCCAACATCACTTTAACCAACTTGCTGCAATAGGAGGGTGGCAAACTACACCGCTTGTGCAAGATTGTTTCCAACTCAGAACTAGGCAATTCATCAAAGTGCAATTCCACAAACCGATTCCTGAAGGCTCTAGAAAGCAACTAAGCACAGAAAGAATATGGTAAAAGGGGCCTTTTCATCTTATTTCCAAAATGGAGGCCCTGCCTTTCACCGCAAAAAGAAAAATCCTTCAACAGAGGTAAAAACAATCTCATTCCTACCAAGAAAAATTTACTATTTGATGTGGTAACAAACTGAAGGAAGGGGGCAAATGCTACAGACCTTTCTGCCTCCATAAAGTCCTGGGGGATTTTGGGTGGCAAAAAGCATGAAGCGGGGGTGTGCTTTCACAACTTCTTGTGTTTCCGTTATGAGCAATTCACGGTTATCATCCAACAGCCTGTTCAGTGCCTCTAAAACATCAGTGGGGGCCAAATTTAATTCATCTAAAATAATCCAATAGCCTTTTCGCATGGCGTCAATCAGAACACCTGGGAGGAAACAGACACTGAGAATTAGTGAATAAATCAGTCCAAAGTTTTCAAATGTGTCATGTACACATCAACAAATCCTAGGTTATCATTACATTTCAAAGCAAATTACTATCTGCAGCTAGTCTTACCCCAAAATAATTTGTGACACTATAGATCAAGGAAGTAAAATTTTCAATTAAAATATTCCCTTTTCCCCCTACTAAAGAGTAGCCAGGGCCGACAAGTATTATAGCTCATTTCCAACTTGTTTAATTTTTCCTTTGTAGTCTGATTTCATTTAAATCATCACATTCTCATACCTACTCCCAACTTCCCTCTAACACTTACCCTATTCTTTGAATCCCTAGGAAATGAAGCAGCGATTCAACTGCCCTCTTCAAAATCTGGCCCTAGTCCTGTATACAGCCAGCAAGATTAACAGGATCTAAAGAAAGTCAGCCCCCCAAACATCATCCCTTAACTATTTGTAACTCAAGGGCAAACAAAAACCTGCTGTTATGGCAGAGGTCCATGTGCCTCCACTGGACAGGATGAAGAATGTCACTAAGGGAAATGAGTCTAAAACAATGAACAGCTACTATACACAGAGTAGAATGTTAACTGTACCTTCTTTAAATACAAGCTTTCCCGAGGAGTTAGATGTGTAGCAACCAATGTATTCCTGAATATCTGTGTGTTCATGGTTATTAATACGCACACAGTGGTTGCCAGTAGCTGCGGCCAGCCACCGGATCAGGCTTGTTTTACCAACTGATGTCTCTCCCTGAATTAGCACTGGATAGGTTCTGTAAAAGATCAGCCAACAAAGTAATTTTTAAACAATGAAAACAAAACAGAGAAACCAGAATTTTGGTGTTAAAAAAAATAATACATCATTTAACATCATCATAAAAGAACATTTTTATATACACCTATGCACCGAGAAAAGTTTCTATGTAAAAACTGTTCCTCAGAAAACACTGAGGAAAGCAATTCCAACCACTCCAGCAATACCTGGGAGAAACAGTAAGTAGAACTATATTACTCACTTACCAAATAATAAGTGATAAGTATTAATCAACAAAATACCACCACAACAAAAAAAATACAATTTTAAAGATGGCCAAAGGCAACTGTACCCATATTACTACCACCAAAGGTGCAACTGGAAACAATGCTTTGTGCCAGGAGAAAAGTCATAGTACTGACTTTAGAAAATTATGATTCTCTTGCCCAGTTAGTAAGAATAAAAGCTCTTTGAAAGTTAAGGAAGTTAGACTAGAATGTCATCAATGCCTATCATATGGTTGTAGAAACTTCAGAGCGGTGAGAGACAAGACCCACACACCCTGCAGAGACCACTCGGACTATATCTCTCAGGTTCAGCTTAACGGAAGATGTCAGAATGTATGTCTCATCTATTGTAGGCTCTTTGTCTCCCACTGAAATCCAGTAGCCTTCAACTTGGATAAGCCGGCCTCCTTTTGGCTCTGGAATAGGCTGAAAGACACAAAAGTTAGAGAAATGATCCACAGTCTCATGACTACTATTCTTTCCGAGAGGGGCATAGAGTAGGAAAGAAAGTTATCACCAAGCATGCTGTCTTCTGGGTGTTTTCAATATTAAAACCCATGGGCAAAATAAGAGCATAAAATTAAGTTGAGAAATGAGAACAAAATGGTGACATGTATTGGTTTTAAAACTTGGGTGGGATGGGTGGATTTGGAAAAAAACATGAATCAAAGCAACTGCCCAGGGCCAGGCGTGGGAGCTCACACCTGTAATCCCAATGCTTTGGGAGTCTGAGGCCGGAGGATCACTTAGGGCCAAGAATTCAAGACCAGACTGGGCAACAGAACAAGAACCCCATCTCTATTAAAACAATTTCCCAGATGGTTTATGATCCAGTTCTCTCACCTATCAAAATGCTCACTCTGATTAAATATTGTTATCAAATATATGAATTTCATATAAACCATGTTCCCCCAAAAGGGGAGAGTGCTGTACTTAAGGAGAAGGGTTTGCATTATTATACTCTGGAGCAACTAGAAGACCTTTCTGGGCAACTAATCATTAGGGATAATATTGTGGATGATGGCATAATCTGTCTGAGATATGGTATAAGTTATTAGGTTGAATTATACAAATTGTCATTTTTATTCATCAAAAATGGTCAAACAGGCCGGGCGCAGTGGCTCACACCTGTAATCCTAGCACTCTGGGAGGCCGAGGTGGGCAGATCGTTTGAGCTCAGGAGTTCGAGACCAGCCTGGGCAAGAGCGAGACCCCGTCTCTACTAAAAAAATAGAAAGAAATTAGCTGGACAACTAAAAATATATATATAAA